CATACTATCTAAAGCTGTTTATAGATTCAGTGAAATCCCTGTCAAAATTGCAATGGCATTTTTCACAGCAATAGAACAAACAATCCTAAAATTTGTATAGAAACATAAAAGACACTGTATAGCCAAAGCAATCTTGAGAAAGAACAAAGCTGGAGAGAGGTATCACACTTCCTGATTTCAAACTATATTATGAAACTGTAACAATAAAAAAATTGTATAGGCAAGACATAAAAACAGTCACATAGATCAATGGAACAGAATAGACAGCCCAGAAATAAACCCACCCATATGTGGTCAGTTAATCAATGACACAGAAGCCGAGAATATACAAAGGGGGAAAGGACAGTTTATTCAGTTAATGGTGCTGGGAAAACTGGACAGCTATGTGCAAAACAATGAAATTGAAACACCATCTTACACCTTACACAAAAACTAATTCAAATAGATTAAAGACTTGAACCTAAGACCAGAAACTATGAAACTCTTAGAAGAGAACATAGAAAGCTCCTTGACATCAGTCTTAACAGTGAGTTTTGGATTTGACACTAAAAGGAAAGGCAACAACAGCAAAAATAAACAAGTGGGACTACATCAAACTAAAAAGCTACACAGCAAAGGAAACCATCAGCAAAATGAAAAGGCATCCAACTGAATGGAAGAAAGTATTTGCAAATGATACATCTGAGAAGGGGTTACTACCTAAAATACAGAACTCATATAACTCAATAGAAAAAACACAAATATGCTAATTAAATATTACACTTAAAACAGAAGGAAATCCTACCATCTGCAACCATTTGGATACACCTTGAGGGCGTTATGCTAAGTGAAATAAATCAAACAAAGCAAGGCAAATACCATACGATCTCACTTATATATGGAATATATAAACATAAAAACAAAACTCATGGATACAGAGACCAGACTGGTAGTTGTCAGAGGTAGGGGGCGGGTTGGGCAAAACAGACGAACAAGGTCAAAAAGTACGAATTTCCAGTTATGAAACAAATAAGTCATGAGGAGTGTAATGTACAGCATATTGACCCAGTTAATAATACTGTTGTGTATTTGAAAATTGCTCAAAGTACATCTTAAAAGTTCTTACCACAAGAAAAAAATTTATAGCTATTTGTAGTGATGGATGTTAATTAGACATGTTGTGGTGATCATTCACAAAAAGTACATCATTATGCTAAGACTAAAACTAAAATGTGAATTATATCTCATTCTTTTTAAAAAGGTGCCAGAAGTCCAGGTGTTCTTCCTTTTCCTAAAATGTTATATTTTTCAGATGTGATGTGATGACTTAGCCCTTTGTGGGAGAAACTATATTTACTTTTCAATGGTTTCCAAGTTTTTTTTTTTTTAATTTACAAGAAGAATTAAAGCATCTTTGTCAGATTTTTAGTTTTAATTTTCTTCCTGTATAGTTTCATACTAACATAATTTTTAAATGAAAATTACAGACTCTGAATGCTGTACTTCCTATGTTTCAATCTGCAAGATCTCTGAAATGGCTACTTGGCAAGGAGGGATGTGTCCTGTCATTTGATTTACATTTTGAATTACGAATTTAAGAGTTAAAAAAATTCCTTTATAGACATATGCTATTCAAGTTCAGTTGACCCAGTTAACTCTGATTTTTATATTTAAAATTTGTTATTTAAAAGGCAAGATCTCTACTTGGTAGTAACTCAGGTATGAATTTTTAAAATAATAAAAATGTTCTCTGACCAAATTTCTAATATATACTATTTGAGGGGGACATAGAGATCACCTTTTCTCCTTTTGATAATTGCTGATGTGTTTCCGAACTCTTACAGTTTAATTTTAAAATATTCCATTTATATGACTATATAAGATCAGATTTGTTGGCATTTTGTGTCCTATTTCCCTGATCTTTGGAATTTTATGTCTTTTTAATATTTCTTTAGTATTGTTTTAAAATCTAAGAAAGAGCAGATACTCATGCATATACTCAATATTCCATGTTTACTCATGTCACCTCAAAAACTTTTTTCTTACTGTTTTATTGAAAATAAAATACAGACATAAAAAACTATATAAAACAAATGTATATCACAAACAGTTATAAGACAAAAACTTGTTAAGTACCACACAGGTCAGGAAGAAAACTGCCAGTTACTCCCAGCAGATTTTATAGATTCCAATCCAGCCACAAGCCTCTCTTTCCCCCCAAAAGTAAACAGTTACTCATTTTCTCTTTTATGGTTTATCTCTGTGGGTAAAATTGCAATATTTCCAGAATTTTTCTCCTGGCCTTGGTCCATCTCCATATAGGTAGGTGTTTCCAAGGGGTGGAGAGGAGTCCATCTTCATATCAGTAGGGGATTACAAGCGGGTGGAGAGCAAGCCTGCACCTGGACTACAGAGATCTGATGGAGCCTTTTGCAGCCGGGTCACAAGAGTCACGGACGAGCAGGAGAAGACAACTGCTAGTTGACAATAAATGGGTTTCTCTCACTTTATTTCTGCCTTTGACTGATTTTGGCTTCAAAGGTTTATTTGCCCCGGGCTGGGAACCTATTTTCCCCCTGAGTTGCAATCTCTCAAGTGTTCATCTTTTAAAACTATAGTTTAGGCTTTTTTGTTTTATTGCTGTGTCTTTCAATCTACAATTCCATTCCTTTTTATCCTTTACAAGTTAGTTGTTGAAGATCCCCAGTCATTTGACCTGGCTGATCACATGCATGGTTATATTCTGTTTTTTTTTGTTTTTGCAAGTTTGCAGGTGGTATTGTGTTCTTTCAACAGAAAGCACATAAAGTCTAGTTATCTCTATTTTTTGTGATATTAGTAACAGTTGATTACTCAACTACCTACATCTATTAGATCATTCAGGTGATTACAAAATGGAGATATTCTTACTCTATCGTTTCTTTTTTTATCTATTGGCTGAAATATATCCAATTATCTACTATTTGGTTAGTAGTGGTATAGTATATATAGGAAAGGTAGAGTCAGTGCTTGGCTCTTGACCATTGTTAACCAGTTTGCAAAATTATGAATTGGCTTCCCTTCACCCTCTGAATAGGGATGGTTGTTTGATTGTATCGTTATGAACTTAAAAATTTAAGCATACTTGATATGTTTCAATCCATTGCAATTCTTCTTCCTATTGAAGTTCATACTGTCCTGTATTTGGCCATTGGGATCCTTTTCAAGCTCCCAGAGTTCTCTTAACAGGACCTTAGATTTGATGCTGTTGAGAGCTTTCTTGCTTTCTGATATGACACTTCCAGGCTCATCTGGAATATGGACAGAAATTATAAATTTATCCATGGGGATTCCCTGAGCCAGTATGTAGGTACCAAGTAGCCACCAGACATGTCCTTTCTTTCAAAAGAAACAAATCAGTTAGTCACTCAATAACAACAAAAGCAAAATAATTTCTGTTTGCACTTTTGATTCTTAGCCAGGTGTTGTATTCCTTAAGAAGACATAGAACTGCCCTTAAGGAGTTTACAGTCTGATGAGGATAATAAAAAAAGCCAAAACATTAGGTTAAGTGACCTTGTAGGAATACAGGCTGGTGTGAGAGTTCCTAGAAAGGACCAAACTCATGGTATGGTTCAAAGAAAGATTTGCAAGTAAAATACTATTCAGTCTTCTGTTTAAAATATAAATCTTCTCCAGTAGAGAAAGATAAGGGAAAATTATTCACGTCAGAGACAACATAGGAGAACCTGATTTCCTCTAATTAGGAAAGCAATCACCAAGTCTGTATTAAACATTCTATTCTGAAACTTCCTGAAATTTGATCCTATGACCAGTCTTTCTGTTACCACCACGTTTTCTCTTGTCAGAAATGACCCCAAGTAGTATTTTTCTCCATAGAATTAAAGTTTAAATCTGAGTCAAGGCATTTCTGTCCTAATCTATGCTGGATGACTCAATCCAGAGACTTTCATTTTACTTGTAAACGTTTTTATTACCATCCTATTTACCTCTCCAAATGAACTACCTTTTCTAGCTGATGTTGATATTTAATTGCGACCTTCTTTACTTTATAAGCTGATTCTTGTACTTGTCTTACTTTTTATTCCTTTGTCTGTGTTAACAGGAAACACTGGAATAGATTTATCTATGGCAAAATCAACACAAAGCTATAATTATTAGCTTGTTATCATTATTGAATCTGATCATGATGAATCACATTATAATTCATTATTTCAGCAAGAATATCATTCTAACCATTTTAGAGCAACATTGTAGGCCTTTTCCCAGCTCAAATTTTATTTTACACTATAGTTTATTTAAAGTTTTTGAGCTAACACGTTTAGACTGCTAAAGTATAATTTCCAAAAAGGTAAAATTATGATTCTTAGGCAAATATAAAGTAAACACAGGTTAAAGATTTACTGAACTCATTAAATAATAACCAGTAAGGTGTTAAGATGAATTTAGAGAGCATTTGAAGAGCTAAATATAGACACGTATGGGAATATTAGAATAAGATAGTTGAGTAGCTACAAAACTGATTTATATCCTGTATATTAAACTGTAACTTTTGGGGTTACATTTTCCCCAGACAGAAGTTATTTGTATGTCTACCTAACAAAAATATACAAGTTACTATATAGTTAGTGAACAGTGAGTCTAACAAAGTATATTTTCCTCATCTTTGGGTGGCTCTGTGCCCCATATGACAATTGAAAGAACCTGTTACTAACCTTTTTGCCTTTTTTCCAAGTTGAGGATAATTTTTTAATAAGACTTACCTTCTCTTAGGCTGCTGAGAATTTTATTTGGGTCTGACGATTGTTTGTGAATCACTGAAGTAAGCTCTGTTTTAGGACACTTTATAAGTTTTGTATTCCAATGTTAAACACCAGCCTAACAATCTTTAATATAGAGTTTTTGAGGAGTATAAATTACTTTAACTGGGCATTAAGTAATGACCAAGTGAATTTTTATACACTTAATAGAATTGAAGTAATTTTCCATGTGAATAAACTCTACATTATTGTGTTTCCTAGGGTTTTCCAGGAGATATTGGGATTCCTGGACAAAATGGCCCTGAAGGATCAAAGGTAAAAAAAGAAGTGTGACATCTAGAGTTTTCTAATCTCAGATCGTAATGAATGGGTAAAAAAAGATTTTAGACATATCAGAACATTTCTGGATATTTTTGAGCCGGGACAGATGCATTTAGTAAACTTTGTACAGTTTGTTTAAGATAATCAGGAAGCAGTTTGCATGTCTGGTTGCTCTTTCGGTGCTGTTTTGTTAGAGGATGTTATCCGGTCTCTCAGGTTCAGGTCGTTGGAAATGATTTTCCTGCTTTGGCATGGACTTAGATTAAGGGAACAGTATTTGCAAATCTTGAAAAAAGGATTTCTTGGAAGAGATGGAAAAAAAACCAGCAACAACCCTTAAAAGTCATTGCAAACAGTAAATGGATAAGAGTTTCCTGATGACTGAAACCCTTTAGGGCCGCCCGTAAAATAACCCCTAATTAATATAAAAGAAAGCCTGCCGTATCCTGGAACTTACAGCACAAAAGAACTGAAGAAACCTAAGTATTTTAAACTTCTTTTATTGTTGTATATATATATACTGGGAAGAAATTGTCTATAGAAAAAACTTATTTATTATTGTTCATTAAAGTTTATGACATAAAATGGCCTATTAGTTTTGATATCCATCATAGTGGTTTTGATAATTTTATACATTATGAAATGATCCCTACAATAAATTTAATTACCAGCTGTCATCATATAAAGTTATTATAATATTATTTAATATTCCCTATCTTATACATTATATCCTCATGACTTGCTTATTTTATAACTGTAAGTTTGTACCTCTTAATCCTCCTTACCTATTTGGCCCACCCCAAACCTCTCCCACTCTGGAAACCAAAGTTTGTTTCTTGTATCTGTGAGTCCATTTCTATTTTGTTTTATTTGTTTTGCCTTTAGATTCCACATAAAAGTGAAATTAAATGGCATTTGTTTTTCTCTATCTTATTTCACTTAGTATATTATCCTCTAGACTGATCTATGTTGTTGAAAATAGCAAGATTTCATTATTTTTAATGGCGAGTAATATTTCCTTGTGTGTGTGTGTATATGTATATATATATATATCACATTTTTAAATCCATCTATTTGTCAATGGACACAGGTTGTTTCCATGTCTTAGCTATGATAAATAATGTTGCAGTGAACATAGGGCTTCATATATCTCTTCTAATTGGTGCTTTTATTTTCTTCAGTTAAATACCCAGAAGTGGGATGGCTGGATCAATGGCAGTTCTATTTTTAATTTTTTGAGTGATCTCCATATTGTTTTTCCATGGTGACTTCACCAATTTATATACCCACCATAACTATACTAGAGTTCACCTCTATTTCTTTTATTTCTGCTCTGATCTTTATTATTTCCTTCCTTCTATTAACTTTGGGCTTTCTTCGTTCTTTTTCTAGTTCTTATAGGTGTAAAGATAGATTGCTCATTTGGGATTTTTCTTGTTTCTTGATGTAGGCCTGTATCACTATGAACTTCCCTCTTAGAACTGCTTTTGCTGCATCCCTTAGATTTTGGAAAGTTGTGTTTCTGTTTTCATTTGTCTCAAGGTATTATTTGATTTCCTCTTTGAAAGGAAAATGCTGGGGTTACCCCAGGCTACACCATGCTGGAGCTACCTGGGCTCAGGGGGAGGTTGTATCAGATGTAGGCCAGGACTCCCCAGAGCATGCCATGCTGGTGCCACCTTGTTGGGATAACTGGAGGTGGGGCAGGAATGGGCTGGGATGCCTAGGCATGTCACACCAGGGCTGCCTTGACGGGATGGCTGGACTGGACCTAGATTGAGGAGGTCCCAGAACATACTGCACTGGGCACAGTGGCAGGATGGCTGGAGCTGGGGTAGGCATGCCATGCTGGAGTCATCCTGTTGGGCACAGCTGGATCCAGTATGGATCTGGGACTCAGGGCTCACTGGAGTAGTCCTCGCACGTTGGCTAGGGTGCCTGGACATGGCTCCCATCTGTGCTATCAAGGTGGAGGGGGAACATGAAAACTACAGCACTTGCCAGCACCCTGAGGAGAGTCCCGTAGTTTCCTGCCCATTCAGTTGTTGCTCTAGGGTTAGTACATGGATTTCCTTTACTTATAGTCTAGTTTCCCTTTTAAACATCTGTTTGTTTTGCTGTGCCCCAGGGTGGGAAATCTCTTAGTGAGCCCTTCAGTGATATCCCTCCTGCATTCAGGTCACTGTATTGGGGGTAGGGTTCTGTCATTATTGGGTCTCCATCTCTCCTATCTTCTTTATGTGATCTCTCTGTTGTACAGAAACTGCTCAATTAGCTCTCAGTTCTTCTTCAGGAGGAATTGCTCTCTATGTAAGTGTAGGTTTGGTGTATCCATGGGAGGAAGTAAGTTCAAGGCCTTCCTCCACTGCCATGTTGGAACATATTTTCATGGCAAAATTCTAAGTACCAAGTTTTACCAGGCAGGCTGACATAGAATGAGCATTGTAAGCAAATAAAGCATTGTGAATAAAGAGATGGAAGGATGAAATAATCTGAAGTTTGGAGATATCCAAGTAATGAAGTATAATCAGCTACTGTGGAAGGTTATCAGTATGAGCAGAGTGGAAATGCTAGGAGATAAAGCTGAAAGGGAAATTATTAATAGCTTTATTTGTTAGTGTACTATGGTGTCAAGTAGTATATTACTATAGTAATTGTTTTACAGACATCTCATTTAATCTTCACAATAGCAATAAGAGCTGTATTTTATTTCCATTTTACAGATGTTTAAGTTATTCCCTCATAGTCACATAACTATCAAGTGACTTAGTCAGAGTTCTAACCCAGATATGACTTCAGAGTCTGACTTATGAGCACTTAGCTTTGGGATTAAATTGTGGAGAACATTCAATGCCATTATGATGAGTTTCTGCTGTATCCATGTCATCATGAATAATCAAAGATATTAAGTAGGAAAGTTTCCTAGATGATTTATGTTTAAAAAAATTATCCCTTTGTAAGCATGGAGGATGGTTTAAATAGGAGATAAATTGAAGGCGAAGAGATGAGGTAGAAAAATCTAGACAAGAAATTGTAAAGATCTGATATAGGGCATTTGTTTTTATACACATCACAGTCCTGCAATGATCTCCACAGCTTCCAGGTTAAGGCTTGTACTTCTCTACTTTTTTACATAAGGTTCTTTACAACCTACCCTTTCTCTTTAACTCTCTTGTCACGTAGTTACATCTACTATTACTCTTCCAAAAGTGTTACTCCAGCTAATCTATTTAGAGTACGAAAGTATGCCATATTTCTTCAAACCTCATGCTTCCTATACACTGTTCTTTTGTCTGGATATCTCTTTACTTTCCTGTGCCCTGTTTAATCTCACTAATACCTGCATATCACATATGACATTGTCCAGGAAGCTTTGCCTGGTCTTCCTAAATCTAACTGAAATATCCCTTCTCTGTATCTCTGAAAAAAAATTTACCAAGCACTTACCTGCATATATTATAAGTGCTCATTTGCTTATCTATTAGAATATAGATTTTTGAGAGAAGAGTCTAATTGATTTTATACACATCACAATAGCACACAGCACATAATAGGAATGCAATAGATAGTGGCTGATTGGATGATTGTTGAATGACTATTTAAAATCAATTTTGGGGAGAGGATTAAAGATGGTGGCATGAGAGGAGAGACAGAGGCTTCCTCCTAAAACTGTATACAATTAGAAAATATAGTTGGTGCAACTAATCCTGAGAGAGCAACAGGAAAGAGGACTGCGCCAGACTGCATACACATGGAGAAAAGAGCAGACCTCATGGAACAGGGTAACATACCAAAACTGTAGCCAGGTGGGACCCAAGCCCTTCCTCCATCCCAGCTCACCAGCAGGAGGAAGAGAAATGGAGCAGGGAGGGAGTGGAAGGCCTCGGACTGCTGAATACCTAGCTCTGGAGATCTGCTCTGGGAGCACAAACCTACATTTCATGGTGCTTTCATGATACTTGTGTGATTACGGGGTTGGAAAGTTAATACAGGCAGAATTCCTAGAGGGACTGAGATTCCACCCACTTGTGGAAAGCAGGGATCCATATCTGGCTACTCTGGGACAAAAGCTTATACCTATGTGCTCGGCCCACTAGTTCAGGCAGTGGAGACAGGCACAGCAGCCAAGAAGCAGGAAACAGCTTTTTACTCCCCCTAGGTACCAATACCACTCCCCTGCGACCCCCGACATTGCTTCAGGGTTTGAGCAGCTCCAGAGAGTAGAGCTTCTGGACACTAGAGGGTGCCATATACAAATATGAAATGCCAAAGGAACCTCGTCCAGAGTAAAATTAATATAACTCCAGAGAAAGATTTAAATGACATGGAACTTATGACTCTTCCTGAAAGGGAGTTCAAAATAAAAATCATCCACATGCTAATGGAGGTACGGAAAGACATCCAAGAACTCAGGAATGAATTCTGGTTGGAGATCCAGTCATTGAAAAGCACAATGGAGGGTATTAAAAGCAGTCTGGATATGGTGTAGGAGATGATAAATGGAATAGAGACTAGAGAAGAGGAATACACAGGAGCTGAGACACAGAGAGAAAAAAGGATCTCCAAGAATTAAAGAATATTGAGAGAATGTGTGACCAATCCAAATGGAACAATATTCGCATTATAGGGATACCAGAAGAAGAAGAGAGAGAGAGAAAGGGATAGAAAGTGTATCTGAGGAGGTAATTGCTGAAAACTTCCCCCATCTGGGGAAGGAGATAGTCTCTCAGGCCATGGAGGTGCACAGATCTCCCAACACAAGGGACCCAAGAAAGACAACATCAAGACATATAGTAATAAAATTGGCAATGGTCAAGGATAAGGACAGACTATTAAAAGCAGCCAGAGAGAGAAATGAGATCACAAACAAAGGAAAGCCCATCAGGCTAACATCAGACTTCTCAGCAGAAACCTTACAGGCCACAAGGGAGTGGCATGATGTATTTAATGCAATGAAGCAGAAGGACCTGGAACCAGTATTACTTTATCCAGCA